GTATTAATTTATATATACATATACATATATATGTATGTATACATATATATATATAATTGCATGCGAAATACCATATATTAAATATCAACAATTAATAATTGAATTCTATGATTTTCATGTGCATACGTAAGGAAATACACAGTATTGTTTATATAAATATGAACAACATATTAGTGTGTTTAGATGAGTGTGTGCACGTATACTCACACTCAGGTATGGGTATGGTACTATTTTTTATCACACATATCTGTGCATACACGTATACAAAATCCGGAAGAGAAAGCTAGACAGCAATATTTAAATGTATGACATGTGCACAAAGATGCAAGGCAGGTAACTAGTACGCGCAATAGAGTGTATCAATTTGTCAGACAGTTAATTCAGGTGTAAGGATCATGAAAGCGCTTCATATACACACGCATACACGATCGTTATGTTACGTGCGTTTTTGTGCGTAGGTGACTTCATATATATAAAGCGGACTTGCATACATATTCAAACCCATGTTTCTATACATATACTCACTGCAGCAATCTGGCAGTACTTCAATGCAAGGACACAATGTGTAGCCCCTCATACCCATTATATCCCGCGTCACTCGTCAGTAAGAAGTACATCAGCGTACACAGCACTGCCATGAACAGAATTTTCCGCCTGGTGGCCGATGACTTGACCTTCCGATTCTTCTTTTTAACCCATACTTGTAATGTGCTCGACATACGCCTTAGCGACAGTGTTGGTGTTTGTTTATCTTCACAATTGTTTATGGGGCTGCATTGAGATGTGTCTGCTGCACCAATTTCGGCACGGGAGAGGTTATCCGAACTCATCGTTTTGTCTTGTTTTGTTTGATCTTACACCTTCCGAGCTGCTTGGATGTGATGACTATATATATATATATATATATATATATTAAGACGGTGATTTCAATGGGCTTCCTCGTATGTCCTAGTAATGTTCGGTTTGACGAGGGTGACTAGATTGTATATAGGCCATAATTCATACAAATGGCGTTGTGAGTTTACAACTCAATTTCCAATTCTATCTTAATACGTGCTATACTTTAACTCGCACACCACTTTCGCCGAGTATAAACAGCTTCGGAAGAAAACACTAGGTAGGCTTCCTGCAGTTGTTTTGACTTGTAGGCTTCTAATTAGGCTAACAAGCACACACGTTTCACTGTTCGGAGATGTGTGTCATACTAGAGCTAGAGTGACCGGAGTTGAACCCCGTATGATGGAGCAAGTAACCAGCAGGACGTCTAATTAGAAAGTAACGAGTATTATATCGATTACCACTACTCGTCCCCACAGCGACCATAATTCTTAGAATTTTTTATATTAATATTTTAGTTAAAAATAAACAAGGTGACAAGTCACAACCGCGCAATCGTGTAACAGGCAGTATAGGTCAATATTAAGTATTTTAATGTCCACATCGAGTCATCGAATAAAAGTAAGGCTTTGCTGCTCTGCGGCGAAATGTTGATAGAAAATTTGCATTGCCATAACAACGCTACGGTAATATTTATTTTGATGATGAGTTTCTTATCCTTTTTTTGTCACAGTGGCTAAAAACAAGAAGAGAGTCACAGGACACAGGCTCACAGTCCACAGAATCTCAGACTCACGCGGCCAAGCCTCACAACAGACTTTTGTTCTCACAGGAAATTGAATGTTTTGTTTTGTTCTATATTTTTGGGTTTTGTTTAAAAAAACCAACAAACCAACAAAAAACAAAACAAACAAACAAACAAAAACAAAAACCCAAAAAAACAACAACAAAACTTTTAAATATATATATATATATATATACAGTCATACCTCTTTATATGTCTACCTCTTTAATTGTCTACCTCTATATATGTCCACTTTTCATTTGGGCCGACACCCTAGAGAGCTGGCCATCTGGTTGGCTTATCAGAGGATCAACTAGGTAACGTTAATAGTCCCTAGAAACCTAAATTCGGTTGAGCCATCTCTCTACCGAAGTATTCAGATATAAATAGAATTGGAAAGTAAATAAAGCTCTATTAATAGAACTAGACCAACTCTTTTATGTTTGGTATTTTACTGAGGCCTTTTAGTGGCCTCATCCAAATATCTTATATGTTAAATGGAAAAGGTTTAATTAATAAAACCATTAAAAGCCATTTTAGGAAACTTAAGTTCCTCGTGCTATTAAGAGCACATTTAGGAGACTTAAGTTCCTTGTACTATTAAGAGTACGTTTATAATTTGCGTACTGCTTAAGAGTACGTTTTTACATAGAGTCTAATGTGGAGGCCCGGCTTTTTACACCAATCATTCGAAAGAGGAGTAAGGATACTCTCAGTCCTGCTTACACATTGTGCTAGCATATACGGCGCGCAATCATCTGAGTGACAGTGGTTAATTATGCAGCAGGCGGCACGGCTGGTGGCATGGTTCACTATATATAATTCGATATCTATCGAAGATGCGGTACATACGTTTATGACTGCTTGGCAAATTGCTTGACTGGTGTCATAGACAATTGCTGATGATTTCTACGCGAACACAGCCTTGACAATACTAACAATGCGGCTAGTCATTTATGCTGTGGACGGATCTGCTGTTTATCTTTTACGGGAATGCAAAATATATATTATACATATTTTTATATTTACAAAACAAGGCACACAAACATAGGAATATTTCCAAGAATATGTTCTTGTAGGGTACAGAATTCTTTACAGAAAATGTCAAACACT